TCCCAAATACAGGTAACCCCATGAGATGAGGTGAAAGTGAGCAATGACTTGACCCCACAACAGAGACAGGAGTTGATGGAGCTAGTGGATCACAACCAGGATGTCTTCTGCACTGTTCCAGGGTTCACTTTGATGATGCAACATGAAATTCACAACCCAGGTAAAACTGTGAACCAGCACTCCTACAGACCAGAGGCTCAGAGAAAGGCTGTCAAAGAAGAGGTGAGGAAAATATTGGAGCATAGTGGAGTTCCAGAGCACCTGGTCCAGCTCCATTTTAATGGTGTTCATTACCCGACTGGGTAAGCCCACTTTATTACAACACTGGATCTCAATAAAGGGTATTGGCTGGTGCCTCTGTCCCCAGAATCTAAAGAGCAGATGGCCTTTGCAACATCATTACACTTACTTATCCATCGGCCACCTTCCAGAGGTTGATGGGCCAAGTGCTAGCCTATAGCCTGGGGAAGTCTCTTGGTACAGGGAAGGTTTGGTAGAGGGTAAAAGACCTACTTCGAGAAGCATAGTAGACAGCAAATTCAAATGCAAATGGAAAATAATAATAATAATAATAAGATTGGCTACTGTGATACACCATTGGGGGAGGCAGAGTTCAAACTCATGCGTTCATGACCTCAAGGTTAGATTATTGTAATGCTTTTTTGGGTGGTTGCTCTGTACGCTTAATAAACAATCTCCAGCTGGTCCAAAATGCAGCAGCTAGAGTTCTTACCAGAAACAGGAAGTATGACCATATTAGCCTGGTTCTGTCAACTCTGTACTGGCTCCCTATTAAACATCATATACATTTTAAAATCTTGCTAATTACTTATAAAGCCATGAATGGTTTAGCTCCTCAGTACTTGAGCTAGCTCTTATCGCATTATAGTGCTTTATGTCAAAACTCTGGCTATTTAATAATAATACCTAGAATATCAAAAACAACAGCAGGTGGCAGATCCTTTTCATATTTAGCGCCCAAAACTGGAACAATCTACCTAGCGCTGTTCGGGAGGCAGACACACTCTGTCAGCTTATTTAAAGACCCATCTCTTTAACCTGGCATACACATAACACACAATGAAAAACAAAAGAATGGCATCTACGCTAATATTAGTCCGTTTTATTTTTATTCCGAAGTCACCGTAGCCACCCAGATCCAGTCCGTACCCAGACTGCAGTCACCTGGATCCAGACCGTATCCAGTCCAGACGGTGGATCAGCACCTAGAGACGACCTCTACAGCCCTGTCAGTGGAGACTATGTCAACTAGACGAACCCTAGAGACAGATCCCCTGTAAAGACCACGTCGGCCATCAGCACAAGACCACGGGAACCAGACGAGTCCTCTGTTCAATCTGACGTGCATTGCAGCCTGGAATTAACCCACACCATGCTGGTTTTGTCTGGCCAGAGGAAAAGAGAAGTAAAATCTTTCCTAGGACAACTACTATAATCGTTCCTTGCCTTTCCTTTTCCTTTTTACAGAGCTAACTACTAAGATATTCCACAGTGGTGACATGGACCGTGAAAGCAAAGGAAGCCTTCAACAATCTAAAGACAACATTATGCTCACATCCCATCCTGGCTGCTCCTGATTTCATAAAAGCGTTTTGACACATGTTTGGGGCTGTTGCTTTTTGTTGGAGAACCTCAGTCAAACTGCCAAACAAAGTGAAAGAACCTTTTTTTGTTTTCTATGGATGAAGTTTTGTATGCTTTATGTTCATCCACCGGAGAAAAACTGTTCTGCATTGTCTTCCTGTCAGTCACCACTCAGAGAGAAGATTCCCAACCCCACACGATACCACAATGCATTAAATTACACAGGCAGCATGAATGTGCACTAATGGAAGACAATACCTTTTATTTTACAGGTAATCACCTAGTTACACAACATACATCTTAAAGGTGTAGATATATAGTTCACTAGGGGTGGAACGGTTCGCGGAAAAAAATCGAACCGTACGGTTCTCCACACACGGTTCGGCATGCGCTAGGACGGCGGTTCAACTTAAATCTGACAACGCATCTGTAATATGGTTTGCTATAAATAACATGTAAAACAAAAAGGGTTCGGCTAATATATGTTTCGGTTGATGGATGCGCATTCTGGCTTCCCAATACATTACAACAACAGCGATGAAAAAAAAATTAAAACGTGGACAAACCATTCACTCTTGTTCAATGCGAATGCTGTATGCTGGAATATGAGCATTTATTCCATCATCACCCAGGTGCTGATAGCCCGCGCGCACAGGTGAGACCTGAACAGCACACGTTGATATCTGTGTTTAAGCTAAACTCATTTAAGCTTTGCCAGTTTAAACATTTAAGAGCCAGTCTCAGCCAGAGGACGTGAGCTCGCGCGCGCAGTGAGAAGATTTGTGCGTGCGCTCATCCGAAGC